TCTGCCCAACTGTAACAGATGGCCAAATTCAGCCTTCGCTGCGGTAAATTTATCAGGCGCTAATCGCCGTGCTTGATGGAAAACCGGACTACCTGTTGTTGTTATCCTACGAACGATCTCATGTTTAAAACACCGTGTTGCAAAGAGATCTCTTTTCGGCAGATCACATCAGGCAAATACAACTACAGGACTGTAAAATGCATTAGTAAACTGGTGCAAGTAACAAAGAGGACGGATGGGACGATTTGAACAGTTTTAGTATGTTCATTTGATGCTCGAATTGATTTAATCAGGTGACATCGTGATCGAGCTAACCGACAGCTAAATAACTTGTGTAAACGGAAAGGGCAAAATTACTAACCAAATAAAATTAGTTAATTACGCAAATAAATAGCACCCGGTTAAGCGAGATACTCCGGGGAACCTTATCATCAAGGCCATGGCAAAGCCAAGGGTTGCACGAGCAACCTATGCTTGCATAGCTCTGGTTGTGTTAGCCTGATCGCGATGGCTTCAGCTGTCTGCAGGAGGCGTTTCCTTAGCCCTTTCGGGTATCGCCTCGGTACGGCATAATAGACTTTGAAAGCATCTTTTGTCAGAATCTGATGCCCACTAAGAATCAGATGCTCCATAATTGAGCTGTTGATACTTCTGTGCATGCTTCTCCGCAATGACCCTGGACAATGTTCAGCCATTCGTACCGACAGACGCCTGGTCGTATGCCCGAGGTACTTTGCACCACAGGTGCAAGTAAACTGGTAAACAATGTACGATTCGGACGACACTGGCAGTCTGTCTTTAAGGCGTTGAGCTATGAAAGGAGCGGTCTCTGCAACTACATGCGGTTGGGCGGCCGGGTAGGTTCTTGCTACGGCATTAGAAAGTCTTCTGTTCAGGAGATCGAAGGCGATATCTCCCTTAAAAGGAACAGTGAGAAACACATCCTTCTTCGGAACTGTTGCTACGGGCTTATCCCGCTCATGGGTCATGGCATGCTTTTTGATGAAAGGCTCTGGGTATCTATTCGCAAGAAGTGTTTTCACAACTCGGTCGTTCTCATCTTCGAGAGTTTCGGGACTACAAATTTTGGTGGCCCGGTAATTCAAGCAACGTACTACGTTGCGTTTGTACCTCAGAGGGACAAAGCTCGAAAAGTGTGTGTACTGTCCTATCCAAGTAGCTTTGCGGAAGACTCTACGCTCAAGTGATCCGTCCTCGCGCCTCTTCAACAAAACGTCCAGAAAAGCCAGCTTACCTTCATTCTCCATTTCACTAGTGAATTTTATTAAGGGGTGTGCACTGTTGAACTGGTCCAGCAAATGGTTGACATCAATGTGCGAATCACAGATGATGAAAGTGTCATCCATATACCTCCAATAAGAATCAAATGAGGCAATAAGCCTTTGGATGGGACCGCGCTCAAGCTTAGCGAGAAAGATGTCGGCAAGAAGAGGTCCAAGGGGGGACCCCATAGCCACGCCGTCGATTTGCCTGTAATAGATTCCGTCAAACAGGAACTGTCTATTAAAGGTACACCGCAAGATTAACTCCTTGAGCTTGGGCACCGGAATGCCAACGTTTAGGTTCCTTTCCGTTATATACTCACAGATGAAATTAACAGTTTCAAACAGTGGGACATTTGTGAAAAGTGATTCTACATCGAAGGAAAACATTTGTTTACCGTTTAATTTTAGCTCTTTAACTCGAACGAACGAATTCGAACGAATCCTTCAAAGAATGAATAGAGAGTTCCTTACGTACGGGTTCCAATAACTGCACAATCCATTTCGCGACTAAGTGGTGTGCCGACGCGGACATGTCAATTATTGGACGCAGAGGGACTTGTGGCTTGTGTATTTTAGGCAAGCCGTAGAGCCGAGGAGGTTGGGAGCCAACAGGAGTTAACTGCTGAAATTGAATATCGGTTATCAATTTCATCTGTTTTAATTCTTTCAAGATCTTTGTAATCTTTGCTTCATCGTCTGCCGTCTTGTCCTTCTGAATTGTGTCATGCAAGAATTTGCTCGTGTCTTGCAAGATAACTTTTAATTTCGAAATGTAATCTGATTTGTCCATTAGCACCCATCCCGATCCTTTATCAGGTCTAGAAAGAATAAGATCAGGATTTGATCTCAATTCTTTGATTGCTTCTCGATGTTTTTTGGACAGAATGTTTGAAAATCTCTTCTCGCAGTGTAGATACTGTTAACAAAGGTGCACTAAGGTGGTTTTGAAAGTGTCTCTGGCCAGAGGAGAAGCAGGTGTTAATTCAGTTAGTTGGTGCATTAATTCTTCAAACTGCGTTTCTATATGCACTTGTCCACTGACCGGTTGCGTAAAACAGAATTTTGGTCCGAGGGATAATGCCTCAAGCTGAAGTTGATTCAACGGTATATTGGACAGATTGTGCACACAGTTCTCCGGATTGGGTGGGAATTTCGGTTCAGGTTGCGTTGGATGCAAGCTTTTTAGGAGCTTTTCGTACTTCTTTTCTTCTACCCTTGTGAATAACGTTTGCACGTACTGTTTAAAAGATTCACGCTATGTTGCATCATGTTTGACATCACCAGGTTGGTATCCAGGCTTAGTTATACTATTAAATTCTCATAACAGATCCAAATACATTGGAATGGTTTGAGGTGGGACAAGCGGCGGACTCATCAACGTAATGGAGCTTTTGAAACCAGCCTGTGATAGTTGCGTCAGGCCATCGAGAATCTGGCAGCGTTTGGGATCTGCAATAATGCCATGATGCTGGAAAAATCGAAGCCTAGGATTGCAGTAGCCACTTTGGCTACAATGAAAATCCAAAGAAAAGTCCTGCAGAGACCAAAGTTCAGTGTGATAGAACTTTCTCCATAGGTTCGAATGGGGAACCACACTAACTTGGGCACCAGTGCCTACGGGAAATCGCATGCCAGATCTTACGTCCCGCAAGTAAAATAGGCGATCTGGCTCTCATATGCTAGCTTGCGTCGTCACCATTACGAGCTGGCGTGTTCGTTTCCCATATTGGAAAATCCACACGGCTTTGTGCATTTCCGAGCGCTGTTACAGAATCTCCAGTGGTACTAGCATATGCCACAGAAACGAGTAGCACTGCCAGTACGCCGTTGGTTTGATCGGGAGTTGCTCCTTCGTTTCGCAGTGGCGATTGAGACCAGTTGTTCTTGCAAGGAGTGTACGACTTTTACGAGTGCGTCGTTAGATGCACGATGCGATAAAGTTGAGATTTTTGGCGTGATTTTATCAGCCATAAGGGCTAAATCTTTCAGTTCGGTATCCTGATGAACGTTAGCCAGTATTTCTTGTAGATGGGTAGGGAGCCGTTGCAAAAATAGCTGCTTAAAGATGGAATTCTCTGGTGGATTTCCATTTACCAGAGCTTGCATGGCTCGCAATAGTTGCGTAAGAGTGCTATCGCCTAACTGTTTGTCATTAAGTAAACGTTTCACTCTTACGCTCGCTAAGGCTAAGCTTGCGCACTAACAAGTCCTTTAGTTGATGATACGTAGGGCTTGTTTTCAGGATGTCTTATGACAGGAGCAATAATTCTAGTGCGAGTCGGGAAATCCCTTGATGAACTTTTAAGACATTCTTATGTATGCGATTAATCTCAACAAATGACTCGGTCTATCGAAACCAAAGCTGGCGCTATTGTATCCAAAATGTTGATACACAACCAGTAGATACGGTGTTAATTTCCCCTGGTTGATGGTCGGTCATATTCGCATGCATAAAAGTAATAAAAGATGACTAAAATGGTCACGATTCACCGAATGAATTGGGCTGTGTTCAAACCAACGAGCTCACGTCGGGGTCACCAAATGGTCGAGGCGCGCTGGTTAGCTGCGGAGTTCGGAGTCAATGTCCCATCGTTTTTGGATGCCCTAACGAAGTAAAAGCATGTATTCCCATTGTTGTATTTGAATGATCCTACGAATAATCATGGGAGAACATGAAAAGAAGCGTGATAATTGTAAAGCTTCTTTAGCTAGTCAGCTTCAAAGTTCTATGATCGATGATGTGTTGGGTGGAGGTTTTGAATATTGGTCGATATGGCTGGTGGAAATGTCAGCTGATCAGATGGTATCCTACTGGTGACTTGTGTTGGTCAAAACGCGTGATGGTCCTACAGGCTCTCAGCCTCTACGGTCATCGCTGGCATCTTTAACTCAGGTTTCGTGTTGCTGGCCCGCGCAGTTCTGTGCTTCATAACGCACCGCGTCATGGGATTGTCGCCTTATATGGGGTGCACACAAGCAACCGACGGTCACTTCATTTCCATAACGTGGACATCAATGTGGTGCTAATGAAACAGAATGCCCGTAGCAAACTAATAAGACCTATACTACAGTTCTACTTAAAATACGCCGAATTGTCACCTCGACGATTTTTCGTCGAATGAGCTAGCTGGGATGTGATGCAAATGAGCTTTTCTTGTGCATCCATTTCCCCGATTTTTCTCAACACTCGATCCCACTTAGAAAATATTTGGAATCAGACCATTGGTTCACGGGTGCACGATTGTGTTCGGGCTGCGCTTCTTCGGTGCCCCCCAGCATCTAAAATAAACAAATAATAATAATGTGTCAGCTGTACGCCGTAACGGCGCTTCGCTGCCGCGCGACCACCACCAGTCTCGCACGGGCTGAGTATACCGCGAGGACGCCCACCCCTACGCGGATTCGAATCAGTGACCTTATGGTTGCAAAGCAAACGTGATTCGCTTTACATCAGCTACGCCTTACGTTGTAGCGTGACCAAATACAGTATCGGGCAACCCAGTTTTGTCGATGAATCATACATGGTCTTCGGATCCAAGGCACTGTTAAGCGCTAATCAGTGCCTAGTCTTCCAAACTGTGTGCACCTGAAATTTTGTTTCCTCCCACACTAAGTGCCTTTCTAATTCGGGTGCAGTCCATTTGATACGTCCACCTGTATGACAGACCAGTGCTACCTTTTTAACTTATTCGCACACTCTTCTTAACCTTATAGCACCTGAAGTCTGTAGAACATCAACAGTTTGCTTGTAATATTGAGAATTATCGCCCCTTGGATAGGATCTTCAGCCAGCTGCCCTCCATAGAGATATTCCTCACCTCAGATGCACATCGGAAACGCCGTAGCTGTGTTAGTCGACGAAAGAAGCGTCATCAAAGCTACCTGAAGGAACCCAACGACGTGAATGTTACACAAAATTGTCCACCGGATGTGCCTCTACCAAGGATTATTGTTTCATCGACAGATAAGTAAGTGCCATGAGATAACAGACCACTCGGCTTCCATCTGCCTGTTCGTCTGCTCTTTCGTTTAGTACATTACTGTACCAATCAAACCGGTGAACGCGTTAAATCCTGGCTGTCTCGTTCTTTCATCTCTCACATACAGGGATCACACTTGACCATGTTGTTTGGAACTTTTCATTACCAGTAAATTGTCTGCTGACTGGATGCCTGGCCTATCCACCTATTTAGTTTGTTGAACTACGTTGCGCTCGATCAAACCAAATCAGCTTGGTTATTGTTTATTAAACTCACCGCCCAATTCCCCCGTCCCTTCGGCATGGAACCAGCTTTCGTGCAAAATATCACTCAAAATGCACTGATTATGACCGGTACGACTTTGTGGCCGAATACCTGTATCTCGAGCCTTACTCGTCCTCTCATCTTTTCCAGACTCATTCTTAATCCAACCTGCATACGTGCACATGTATGTTCGATCGGCTTACACCAGGGATGTCCAAAGTCCGGCCCGCACTAACATTTCAACTGGCCCGCGGCCTCATCATGAACTAATAAATTCAGGCTTGGACTGTTTTCGTACATGTGCACTTTTTGTTATTATCGTAATGTCAGACTGACATATTTCGACCTCACAAAATGTGGCCCTCCTTGCCTAAAGTTTGGACGCCCCTGGTCTACACATCTGATCCATTTAGCTGCTCTTGACAAATCCGACTTTGCTCACTCTTGAATACGAGAACAATCAAACCACCGTTTGTTCGTCATCGATAATTCATGTGATTACACCATTTACCCGCGTTAGTTTTTCATCATCTTGCACCCGCCATCTGTTGCAGACTGATTATTCTCAAGTCATCCGATAGGTATGTGCCTCAGGCTTTATCACTCTACCAATCTGCTCAAATTATCGAATTATCTGTACGCGCCTTCTCCTGCCCGGATATAGGCTACCCAGCACTCTGTCTTCATCCTTGTAAACTTCGTTTATCCAACCAAACTTGGCTATTTTGCTTCAAAAATGGCACCACTATGCCATTTGTTTTGGAGTCTGTAACTAGACTTACTTGTTTAACTCACAACCAACTCAGGCAATGCCATACATAGGTCACGAGATCATTCGTTCCTTTTGTGCATGTTCTATATCTTCTTGGCTTCGCTCCGAGATACGCACATCCTCTCGACACATTTCTTAGAGTGACTGCTGAAGCAGCTTGTGATTACCTTGATCGCATCAGGATGCTGAACGTACGATCAGGACACACATTTCGGAGCTTGCCGTTTGCCTTGTAGTTTCGAGCGTACGCAATTCTTGTTACACGCGGTCCCGTTGTATCCCACATGCCAGGCCCTTGTCTGTTAATCACTGGTTCCCATACGGTGATGCTAATAGCTGTGTATGTGTCTATATACGCAACGCGCCGGCTCAGTTCTCCCAGGTCTTTGCCTGGAAATTTACCTAGTGTATGGGCCTGTTCACTTAACAACCCTTGTATGTTTTCCTTGGACCCGAAGGTTCGGTTGTAATGGAGGGCGAACCATTGTCTGCAGGCTCAATCCTGCCTTTTAGTTTACGTAAACCTGACAGACTTTGTGACGTAGACTGATGTCTTCGGCGCCGCGTTCGACGTTGTCTTTCTATCTACGTATCGACTGTGTTCTGGGGTGTGGCATACGAAGTGGATTAGCAACACGAAACAACCGCTTGTTCCCTCCACTTATCTCTGCCATCGTTTTCTGGTTATCACCTGCGAATTATGGGATCGTTGTATTTTATATTTTCACTTGTCTACTGGAGATCGCTTTTCTCCACTCAACTTGTCCTTTGGCATCCCCAGTGTTTCTCACCGGCTGTTCTGATGCTATGATCCTGCTCCTCAATCCACGTATTATTCCGCTTGTTTTTGTCCGCAACTCCACATTAAGCATGAGCCCCCTATCACACGATGATATCCAATTACGCATACATTAATCGCTTCTGCTTCTGATGAGCTCGTTGGATCGAAAACACTTATATTTGTTTTTGGAGCTGGATGAAAGTTTTGTGCCTATTTAGTTTTATGCATTTCCTAACTCGTTGGTGATTTCTTGCCTTCTAAGCTCCTGACGGTTTAGCCTCATTATGTGATCACACACCTCCACACTGCGGATGTAGCATCCCCGTCACATCAGTAGTACATTAGTACTTCGCACGATGACTTCACTGATGGGGCATGGGGGCTAAGAAGGACCTAATGCGAGGCTAACATACTCTGAGAAAGCATTTAAGATCAAGTCGCCTGCACTTTGTCATTCGCCCACATACACAATAGTTTGCTATTAGGTGAAAGTTATGCGGCGTTGACGAACCGCCTTCACCACGGTTTTAACTGCTTCACGTCACCGTCAGCTTCACTTCACAGATAACTTAACATCTTTAAATAAGCACTCCGACTAGCAAGCGACAACAGGAGCACTGCTGTTGTGCCGGTCGCAAGATATATCCTGTGGTGGCTCAGGTCAAACAGAGATTTAGTGACCTATATCCCAGTCTGGAAGGTGGTATTGCCGAACAAGGCCTAGGCCACTGTCCGACGAACGATGACCTTCCTTGAACCGTATGCTGCCCAACTTGGAGCAGGCACAACACGGATCTTCCCCGTTTGCCTTGAGTGCTCGGATCGAGACGCTTTATTTGTTGACCTAAGGCCTGACCAGTACTCACCTGCACATATCACCGTTGCGGATACATTGGTACCTTCAGGAAACTATTAGTCAGGCGCATGAGATGCTCGAGTTTTTCACACGGCGACGACCAAGTCCTAGGTGACTATTCCCACTGTGATCCTGCATACACAACCTTTGAGCCCAAGGAAAATTGCCCTTCGGTTACCAAGACATGCCCCAAACACCCACTACGTAGACTACTGCCAAGTGTCACGTGCACGTAGCTGTTAATGGGGCTGTCAATATAGGCATAGTAATCAGTCGTCTACAATACCTCATCGTCAAGCTGAAAGGAAAGCATAACTGGTAACCATGTAACTTCGAATTTGGATGCCACATTGGGGGTCCACAATCTCGGTCCTCTTTCTACATAACCGTGGTTACCTTGTGTCAGAGTCCACGCTGTAAGTGCATAGTACATGGTTGGCGGCATCCGGTTTCGGATTTGCCTGTCACTGTGGTCAGCCACAGGACGCCTGCGCCTACAGAGGGACCATGGATGGTTTGCGCTGCACCACCCACAGCTCCATCCACACACCCCATATCCAGTGTAAAGCCGAAGCAATAAGACCGGGAGGCATGCGGATGGGGGCCACGTTTCATCAACGGAGCCGGCCCACACTCCTTCACAGACAAACACAAGCACGCTGTATTTGGGGAATCAAGTGCACACAAGGCGGTGGCTGGACCGTAGTCCGCTCCACACTGAGTGCATGGAACCACTCTTCGAGCCTAGCACGGCCACAAGGACCGTGCACCCCGTCCCCTCCAGCAACGACCAACTGTCTCCTGGTGCCAGTATGGACGAGGTAGTGGGTAATAGACAGGTAGGCACCTTGTCAACATGCACATCAAACGCAGCCACACCTGGGATGTCAAACAACAGCCAATCATTCGAAATGCCGATATCGATTAAAGTAAACGCATATGACGACATAATACTTGCTAAATGAACACATAGAAGAAATTAGTTATAAGTGAATCCGTGCTAAGTACAAAATGTCCGAAACTTATTTAAAAAATACCACGCGATAAAATTACGCAAGTTTACCACAATTTGCGTGCGCGACGTGTGCAAGTAAGGAGATTATCAAGTACGCAGAACAAACCAAATAAAGTGGAATGAATTTTATCCACATTAAAAAGACCTAGTTTAAGTGTAAATTGGTTTAGCCCAACTGCGGTGAAGAAGCATCATGAATGCAACATCAGCCTCAGCAAGGGGCACACGTGCATAGTACAACGATCGATGTTAACCACCAACACCACTTCGGGCTGGCAGTTTGAATCTGTTGTTGAATTACAGGCGGTACTTTGTCTTATCATTATCCGACTAGCTGAAATGATAACCACTCATCCACTTTATTGCTCACTGGTGCATTGAATACAATTAAATCGAGATTTTCGTGATCTGGTTGATCAAAACGAGTTGGTCACCACCTTGCAGCAATTTATCTCTCTAGAACTTAAGCTTTGATGGTAGTATCTCTGTTTATTCTATCGCATTTCGGCGATTTCGGGACCTCAGTGTACCACTCACATTTCTCTAACTGAATACGATTACAGATTTATCTCCCTTCTCCACTTACCTTTCAGTCATATCCTACCGTCGTCGACTGTGGATGGCCATCCACTAGTCGCAACTGAGGCGACCGACTCCCACTGTCCGCCGTTTCTTCACCTTCCCGAATCTTTACAGGCCATTTCTGGTGCCAGAATTGTAGATCAGGAACAGTTGTTCAGTGACGAAGAGGAGGAAATCGGCTTGATTCGAGAAAGCCTTTTGCATCTTGTCGATCGGTCTAACTTAGCCTCGTCTTTGGCTCCTGTTGCTGTTCTAGATCCCACTTTTGCCGCCGAGCCGCACCCTGGACCTTGTCAATCCGCCGTCGCTACTTCGAGTGCTGATACAGAAATGCCCCTAGACACTCCTGCCCTTTTACCCAGCAGTTACACGTGTCCAATTGCACCGTGTCCAACTCCCGATCCTGAAGTGGCTCACGCATGGCATTCACTATGCAACAGGGTGTACGTTGACAAACTACTAACGGAGCCCCGCTGTGACATTCCAGACAATTCATCTCCGCTTTTAGAGCGATGTCATCGCCCTTGTCTTGTTTGTCATCGTTTGCACATTCCGACTTCGCTTTCTCCGTCGCTCTATCTTCAGTTGAACAGCCTTCTCGGTCCACGTTACGAATTGGACGGTGTCGGATGCTTGGGAAGGCAGTCCCACTTGCCCCACAGTACACTAACTCCATCGAGCGCTCATTCTAGCGAAACCGACTCGCATGCTGTTCATACACATGTTGTTCCAGTTGATCGGCGCTTCTCTAATTCCGCCTCTTCTTCGCTCCGTAACTCTCCAGTGTTTGGAACTAACCCATCTGAATTATGTATTCCTCATGATGCAACTCTCTCTACCCTTCCGATGAGCCAAGACCTATCTTCTCTGCAGGCTGTTGAGGCTGACTGCATCCCTGACACACGCGATAAGTTATCACCTCTCCATGGGGACACCGTTAGTCGAGTCTCATCTGATAACCCAGAACCCATCGAGCAACCTTTTAACCAATCTTCTGATTCTCTTCTTTCAACTAGCCTACAGATTTCGGAGCCCAATTTCGTTGGATCAAATTCCCCAACTGTTCGTTCAGATATAACACCTATCCGGAGGTCATTAAGTTGGATGTACAATAGCAATTCCTTCGATGCCAAACTACCACCCACAGACAAAAGTGCTGACTCGAGCGTTTCACCTTCCGCTGTTTCAACCGTTTCACAACTTACCAATAAGACGCGTAAACATTGGTGCTCAGAAGGAATCACTGCAGGTAGTCTGCCTATTGTTAAACACCCAAAACATTCGTCTTCCAGTACTTCTTTTGTGTCCCATTCCTCAGCGCGCGCACATCCATTTCACATGAAACATGCACGATGTCAAAACAGGAAGAGACATAGAAATGGTGCACCAACTAGTTTTCCTGTCTCCCACCCTAATCCACCCCAGCGATCTCCACGATTGGCTGCCCAAATCGCCCGGGAATCAATCAATCTTAGTGTCCGAACTATTTTTTATCCTTCCACGATGAATTCGTTTTCTACTAGCCCCGAAAATGCACATACACCAAGTCTTTCTCCCCTAAAACGGATTTCTGTTAACTCTTCCCACTCGAAACCTGGAAAGTCTGCACACCGTTCTCCTTTAAAGAGTCGACCCCACAAACGAGTTAAGCGGTGCACTCTGTTCCCCACTCCTGCATTTCCCACCCTCGCTGTGAATAAAAGTCTGACCAGCTAGTCCTTCGTGTTACTTGAGTGTGTATCCATCTTTCCACTTCGGATATCTCTATTGTAAAATATTGAGATCCGTCTTTTCAAAGTCTACTCTTCTGTTAGCAAATTGCTCTTTTGTTTCTACCCGCGTCGCCGCAATACGGATACTTCTAACAATAATAGTAATTAGAGCAACAGTGAAAAAGGCGCATATATATAGTTTCTGTCTCAAAGTAAAATGGCCCAAGAGGGATGGGTTGTAGCTAATGGATTGAGACCAGATACAAGCAGCCTGTTGGTGTCCTGAACGCGCAACAGCCCTATCCTTGGTCAATGCCGCAAAACTGAACGCGTTATTGCGCTCATTCTGTTCCTGACCGATAATGCACTGCTACGTGCTATTCATACATGATAAACAACTTCGAAGGGCCACACCATCCTTACCGATGCTTCCAAAAACCTTACTGTTGGATCCTTTATGGGAACCATACGGGTCTCTAGACGAATGAACGAATCAACCGCTTCCATTAGCCGCTCCGTGATGATTAGGATTTTCCGTAATCAACTCGGTTCTCCAACACTGCATTAGCCAACTCAGGAGGGCTTGCACAGCAACCGCTTATAGTACAAGAGAATCTTATCCGTCTCACACTTCAAGCCCGTCATTACTTCACTTGACAAAGCATCTGCTCCCTAAATGTTAGGGAGATCGGTGTCCTTCTCAATTATTTCGATAATGATATTGTAGTGGATGTATGGAGTCGAACACCCTTGACATCCCATTTTTGGGGGAAAACTCGGTAGATATCTTACTATGAGCGCATGCGTTACCTACATTCGCAGCAGGTAAATTCTCGCTTGGCTTGGTATTTTCCGCTACGCCCGCCGGAGATAAACAGCGTCACAGCAGAATCAATGGTGATCTTCTAGTGTAACTCCCTGTTCAAGCGCTTGGTGAAGTGTGAAGGTATGTTTTGGCACACCCTGAGTTTGAGCAAAAGCCTGAGGGGTTTCCACTTTTACAAGGGCCTGCGAACTACTGTAGGATGATGCACACGAGGATCTTGGTCACGATCGCTATAAGACTGACGCCTTCTTCTATCATCACTTAACCTTTCTCGAAGCTTGGGGTGCGAAAATGCCTTTTTGGTTATCCATATGGTTTTGAACACGTTCTACTGCACTTATCAGTGGGCTACCACCTTTTTCATTGTTGGAGACATGTTATCGCGTCGAGACACCTAGTTGCTTTCTTTTAGATGTCGTTTCACAGACTGGTACTTTTATTGGATCCATATTTTGGGTGAAGTTGAATGAAATGTTGCATTGATCGTCTATATTTTACGAGGATTTAGTATCCAACATGGCTGTCGACCAATCCTGACACCCGTTGTCAGATACCATTATAGAGTGTTGTGTGCACTCTGGAGTTGGTTCCCGACAAATCACTTTTCCGTTACGCAAACGAACGCTTCAAAAATCCACTCACTATTCCGTTCAGTGCTGGAAAGACAAGTGACTTCGACGGCACGTTTCATCGCGCTCAGGAGACGATCGCAACTGGTATTCGTACATCGACAACGGCTAACGTTAAAGTTCGACTTGATAGTGTTTTACGACGGATTGTGGGTCTAGGCGACTTTGGCTTTGAGCACTTCGCTGTGGCCGGTAGCTTGATAACTTCCTTAAAACTAGGCTATTGCCCCAAACCCATCGACACCCCTGAACGGAACTAGGTCATTTGTGGCGGATTCCGTTATAGTCGACTTTCCAACGTAGCTACGTATCGTTCTATGGGTCCTGGATGATGCGATGCAGATGCTGGCATCAATAGGCTGTTCCGATGAAATAACTTTTTGATCATTGCATGAACAACGAACTCGGTCATTATCATCAATATGATGAACAGCGATTCTGAAGCAACCTCTAAACCATTCAGGCCTATTTAAACATTCAACCTACCAGCAGCTACGTGTATTCGTCTATTCACCTGGTTCCATTCATGTATATCGCTGTCTACATTTACGCCTTGTTCAACACCAGCGCTGTTAATACTCGGATCCACTTAGTCAGCAGCACCAAGTACTGTCATCACAGGAACTCCATCTTGAAAATGAGTAGAGCAAATTTTATTCTCGAAAAATTAGAGGCACACCACTGGCTGGCTGTTTTGGACGCCTGTTCCAGGTAATGTTTGTTTTGAGACCAGCATATAAATATTACAAGGGTGTGTTACCGTTTATTAGCCGATCTGAAGTGACCCGACGTAAAACGTCATCAGTAGTTTGACCAACGGTTCAGGAGCACCATTAATACAGACTACGAGTCAAACGCGTTTTCTTTCTGTTTGAATTCGGGCGATGAGGTGTGTGGATTTGGCGGGGCAAAAAGCGGACAACTGATACCACTAGACCTCAAATCTGGAGCGAAGTGGTTGTTTAGATCGATCCACCTTAGTAGACTAACCTACAAACAACATAACAACAAAGCTAACTCCGTGTGACTGCTGAGTTCGCTAGGGGTCTATCTGAGGTCCTTCACATGCAACCTTTGAATTTCTGAGCCGTTTTGCGTATGCTTGTGGACCTTGGAATCTGACGCACCTACGATCACGGTCAGCTGCAAGCATTTTCCGACCTGTTTACTCCTCATTCACCAAATCTGCATTATTACCCTCCATACAGCATAAGTGCTTCTCCACTGTTAGAAGCAACCCGTGGCATTCGCACTCGAGCCAAATCAAACTGTGCTGCTGTCTCTTTGTAGACTCAACCCTTACTTAAGGCCCTAACCTTATATCACCACATTGTTTTTCTGCGCTCTCCCATCTTCACTCTAATGATCCTGCCAAACGCTCCTGTTTTTATGCGGCATACTATGCCACTTCTATCCCTAGTAACACTGTGCAGTATAACGAAGATTGTCAAGGGTTTATGCTGAGCCCGATTGCCTTACTTTCTCAAGTTGGGTTGTAAGCAATTTCATGTATGTTCCGTTCCCTCATGACTGTTGTCCGTTCACTTCACTTTCCTATCATAACACCTTCGGGCATGATTATACATAGTAGTATTAAAGGCACTTGAGGTACTTGCTTTCGGTGGCCATACCATATTATGTGTATGATAACTATAAAGTCGTTCACATTATTTTGTTTTCATAAAATTTATTGTGTGTATATCTTACGATGTCTCACTTGATAAAGTTATTTCGTCTTTTTCGAGAAGAATCGAAAAGCCATGGGACTTCTTTTCGATTGCGATGGTGGAGGCTGCGCAGGTACATGAGTGTTCGTTCTGCTGGTCGTAACATTTGCAACCTTGGCTGTTACACCTTCCTCGGGGGCAATGCTTTGCTTGTTTGGGTCACCGAAACGTGCATGGTTAGGTAGTGATGGTCCTACAGTCTCAGCGCTGAATTCCGACGAGGCTCGGTTCGTAGTAGGGGATTGATTGTGTGCCGCCGATGATACCGCTACACATTCAGCTTGATGTGGTCTGTTTTGCGGCAAGATCGGACTGGGGCTACGCAAAGTCTTGGTGAAGGCGGGTGGGCTGGCTGCTCGAAACTTTAAGTTTGTCAAACGATGCGCCGGTCCGGATGATTGTTCGGCATCCATGTTTACTGAGCCACTGTTGTTTTCCGGTAACAAAAGTGTTGGGCCAGTGGGCAGGGTTTTTCTTTGAAGCAGCAGTCCAGGCGACACGGCTAGGCTAGACAGTACACTGTTAGTTGCTCCGCTCAGGGTTCCCGTACTGGAGCTAAGCGAGCGCGACCCGGGGCCGCTTAGCCCTTCTTGCGTACGCGACTTGTTGAATCGGCCGGAGTATGATAACCTGACGATGGCGTGAAATACAGATTGTACGTCTTCATACGTTTCGGCCGCCGTAGTCTCAAACAAGGGCACATTGTATCGTTTTGCGAGCTGCTCAATTTCTGTTTTCTCCACCAACCTGTTGAAATTTAAACGAAATAGCACAATATGGGTTACGGCTGGAGCGCGTGGGATCACTCGCCTTTTGCCAACCCGCTAAAACCAATGACGCGATATTGACTGTTTTCCAGATTATTTACATGTTTAAGCATTCTCGAGGAAACGATTTTTTATAGCCTGTATGTGTTACAGAACTATTGTCATCAATTATTAACAATCAGTTTTATGACATTTTGCACTTAATGCCCACCTGGCAATCGCGGGGAGTGGGGTTGGAAACTGCTTTCTCTGGTTGCTGACAAACTAGACAGCTCAAGAGACTGATATGCCATAAACTACATCTGTGTGTGTACCAGCATCCCTCCTACATATTGTTCGAATTCCTCTGACATTCCTCCTTCAAGCTTTGCGACCACTCTACTTACACACGTTTCATCACAAGTTAGCAGAAGAGAGCGGCTAAATTAAAAGAACAGATTACCTTGAAACTGGGCTTTGCACCAAGTAGCTTGCGATTACCATTGCTCACTGTATATCTTCTGTCTGCTAGAGTATTTAATTCGATTGTATAGTGGATAGGTTGCGTCATCATAGATTTGCATATTCAACAAAAGTCACTTTTCGACCGTCCCCACGACCACTGCGAATCGATCTCTCACCAGGGACCTCCACTCCTATCGTCCCCTTACCAGCGACCAACAGTATTATATACACCGACGAATCGTCTCCTCGGTGTTCACCTAAGTTGGTGACAATCTGAGTGCATTTCAGTTTAATGATTCTAGTCAGGAACCGTGAAGGCATTGTAGATTACGTGTTTCATAGTCTTCTAGTTCCTGGGGTGCATCAATATATTTAACTTTCTGTGGGTTATCGAAACAATAAGGCAATTTTGATCAAGTTCGTTTCGGTCTATGCAAGCTGAGTACACTCGACTTGCGGCGCTTCGCTTTTGTGCTCATCATATACCGCTTTTATTTGGCTCTGTAACTTCTCAGCTCTTTCGAACTCTGCTGTACGGAGGTTTCCAGTCTCTAGGACAATGTTATGCTAGGGATTCTGGTGCTAGACTTCCGAGCTTCTCAGTCCACAGATGCACCATATCCTAACTTTTCTTTCTGTATCCCAATTTGTTACCCCCCCCCCCATTGCAATGGTTCGCATGTCTCTTTACCGGGTGCATACTCAGAATCTGCTTAAACGTATCCCTAAATTTCTTGCTTGACGTATAATGCCGCCATCCTTTTTAGCTTCATTCCCTCGCATTTTCAGTCCACTACAGACTCCACAGTTGTAACTCACCTAAACCGATCCAAATCAGATTTACTTGCCACTAAGACCACAGTCGGAGCGCGCAGAATTCTGACCCCGCACATTGCCGAGCGCCTCAGGGAACTCGTCTGCCCTGGAATGAGTGAGTTCGCCGGGATGGGCATATTTGGGCTTGGGTTCGGGCCAACAGGTGGATTGGAGTGTATAGAGTGGGAAGTTCTCAAGTTGTCTGGACGACTCGGAGGTTCCACATTTTGCTTTATACTTTCAATCAACTCCTGAGCCCTGTAGAAACTCCGGCGACTGGTGATGGAAAATAGAATAATAATGGCCTGGGACCACTTCACAATATCCGCAAGATCGATGTCGTCCTGAAATAGATGTAAAGCACACAATGAGTATCGGGTTTACCATGATGAACACATTTTATGGCGCGTATCTTGCATTTAAGTCATTTGTTTATGGTTCTTGACCTCTGCTTCTGTCGCTCTACCTTTTCACAGTTGCCGCATGAGTTGGATAGGTCGGTTTGTTCGATTTTCCTATTGATGTGTTAGGAGGGACTCGTTTAGTCCAACTTCTAACGTGGCATTTCCTGACTCCTCGTGTGGCTGCCTACCTCATTTATCAGATATGCAGAAATAATATCGCCCGAGTGCCACTGTTTTCCCATGGCAAACAATCAATTATTTTTACTTGTTCTATTATTTAGGATCCAGCTAGGACCTTCTGTTTTTGTTGCATGATCTGGTACCTTTGTATTGTTTCTCACATGGATTGTATTCATTACATTAACCAGCTGTAAGACTGCTCTACTCTTATTTGTATCACTTTGAAAGGCTCACCGGAGGGCCACCCAGTGGAACTGAGCCACACGGATCTCCTACTATCATACCTGACAAGTAACACTGCCCTGGACAATATCGAGAGAGGGTTTTCTTTGAAGCTGGAACCTGCTCCGTGATATTTCTAGGCTCATCTGCCTGTTTCCAACCTAGGGAACTCCGTCCTATCCTCTATTGTGGTGTTAGTGTTTCTCAATTTTGTGCGATTATCACGTGTTGCTCACTCAAGTGACTGAATTATACGCACTCATTAACATCCGGTAACCTTCCAGCATGACAATACCAATGTGCCTATATCTCAAACAAAAATTGACATGCAGCTTACGCTATCTGATGTGTCTTGTATATTCAGTGTCACATCTTGCCCATCAATGTTATCGTTCTTTGTGTAACTGTCACCTGAAACAAATGAAAACAACACGGGATTAGAGCTATTGGTTCACAATTCCATGAGTGCAACGTTGTACTAGGCCACGCCCTCTTGAGATTATCAACCCTGGATTGTTACGAAAAGTTCAAACGTATTTTCGTTTGATTGACCGACACAACAATATCCACGCTACTCAGTTATCATGCATTGTTTTATGCTATTTGCTCAGACAGTTAAAAACTAATAACCCTTTGGTTTATCTTCGGACTTTCTTTATCTTCTACTGCTAAATACTTACAACAACAACAAATGGATGTCGCCATTTGATGCGCAGTCGTTGTTTACGAATATTCCGTTGTTGGAAACAGTAGAATATGTCTACGAACTAGTACGGCAACTGAATGTACCTACAAGTATCCCGGAAAACCTCCTGACGGAATTGTTACTCAGATGCACCTTAAACGTGCAGTTCACCTTTAACGGGGAGATTTATCGTCAAATTGATGGAGTTGCCATGGGCTCACCATTGGGACCCTTTCTAGCAGATGTCTTTATGGCAAAATTGGAGCATAAGGTATTAAGAACGCACATCAACGAAGTCGAGATGTATATACGTTATGTAGATGACAAATTTAGACTCTGCAAATCGAAAGCGCAGACTGTGAAACTGTTGGAAGCTTTTAATGATGCGCATCAGAATCTACATTTCACATGTGAGCACGAATCCAGAAACCGAATACCGTTCCTGGATGTTGATATCATCAGAAACGCCGACGGATCGTACAGCAGAGGGGTGTATAGAAAACCAACTTGGACTGGACAGTACATCAACTTCCATAGTGCGGTACCCATACAGTACAAACCAAACCTAGTCCGCACTCGTGCGTTCCGGGCACATAGAATTTGCACACCGGACACAATCACCAAGGAGTTGCAGAGGATCAGCGCGGCGCTAAGAGCGAATGGGTATCCAGATAAACTCATCCTCAAACATCTGAAAGAACGCATGATAAAACTACCGAGGATGAACGTACCCAAAAAAGAACTAATTGTGCACATTCCTTTCAAAAGCGACAGTGCGGCTGATGCCCTGTCCAAACGCCTGAAAGAAGCTGTTGAAAAGACCTATTTCGCGGCTCGCCTACGCATAGTATTTTACAATAAGCCTTTATTCGCAAAACTTTTGAAAGACAGGCTGCCTCCGGTGACTCGATCAATGGTTGTTTATCTTTACTGGTGCTCCTGTAGGGCACGATACGTGGGTCGTACCACGAGGCGCCTATCTCATAGGATTCGCGAACACATCCCAAAGTGGTTTTACAAAGGCGAAGCGAGATCCAGTAACAGTTCCATCTTGTCTCACCTTCTAGAGTGCAGTCACGCAGGGACGGAAAATGATGTTAGTCATCTATACTGTTCCTGAACGTTTCACGCGCGGATTCCGGAAGCATCTTCTGTCTATTGCGGAAGCTATCTACATCCGCCACCTCAAGTCAGAATTGTGCGCACAAAAACAGCTTGTATGTCCTTCACTTCTACCGTGGCCTACAACTTCGACTGGGATTTCCCCTGTACATATTTGCCACTTTCAATGACCCCGTGATTTATTGATTTGTACCCGTGAAATTAAACATTCTGTTCAATACGCAGCCCAATCCGGCACATTTAGCACTTTCTTCTCATCATGTAATGTTTGACTCCGATGATAATTACGGGAAAGAATTCTTTACTCAGATTCTACCTCCCTTGATTCATTCTAACAAATTACTTTTTTGCCACTTGCGAACGAGAACACTTGTGGTTATTTCTGACACTGGGTACTGTGATTGCTTTCGGTGAGCTTTTCATCGATGATACCAGGTTTGGTTTTACCGCGGTATATCGATGACCCGCAATGCACATGTGCATCAGGCTAGATGCAATCTATGTGGAATATAAGGTGTTCTCTTACTTGATTTTTTAGGGCCATCGGATCTGGAAACCTCCGTCGCTAATGAGTATATAGTTCAACAAATTATCAGTGGAATTAGGCTTCACGTTGTTCGCTAAGAGCATTGTTCCTTAATTGTTTCGTTCCAGACTGCTACAACTACCGATCTGATTCATTTCAGCTGAGATGACGATCACAAATGGCCTTATTTCCCTCCGTGGAACTACGGAATGAGCAAATCGTGTTAATGTTGTTGGGGAATTTATGAATTTTTTTGTCTTAGTCTTAGCCTCAAACAAATTAAGTCCTTTCGATCACTCGGTCGAGAAACTCACTCCAGGTTATCCAACCTCGTTTGGACCGATAAACCGATGGAAATCGCTGTCGGACTGCACTTACAGCATTTTCAAATCGGTGACTTGTCTTCTTGATATTAGAAGGTGGTGAACGCACTAGCCCCTTAGAGCCACACCTCTGGTCGTCAATAACTATCCCCTCCGAGGGATGTTGAGTACGATCCAGGCCGTGCGCTTTTGAACTGACTTTCGATGAAATTACACTCCTACTGCATTATTTTGATAATCTGCATTGCGATGGACGTTAAATTTACCTTGGGCTAGCCTGGAACTGTCGGATTGCTGACTTCTAGCTATCCACGTTATTAATGAGTTAGTACATCGAGTATTAACGCCACTGGGTGTCTTACTTTCTTGGCCTACATTAGTCTCCACATATAAGTGTTATCTGACGCTGAAAGTTCATATGCAACATTATTATCTTCCTTCTCGTAGTTGGTTCTTTAACCAGTGCATTTGTGTGTCGTAAAGCTAATATTTCTCATTCTCTCCATTAGGCTGGTGGCGAACGTCCGTCATCAACGGTCTATTTCACACAGTACAAACCAATCAAGACTCGAACTATCCTATCCTACACATGAAGTAAACTATTTACCAGGTTGGCTGGTCTTTCTTTGGTGGCCACCGAGTACCATACATGTCAGCTTCTTTGAAAATGACCTGATTTCTTATCATTTATCGAAAACATCCATTGCCATCCTTACATTTTCACATTTTCGCTCTTGCGTTACTTTTGCTTCTCAATGATCTCTGCTTTGCCTGCGGTTTTCTAATTGGTCTGCTATGCTTCATTCACACCATTCTATCTTATGCCCTCCAAGTTTTCCGTACGACTGTTTTATCCGGTTTCGCAAATGCTACGGACTTCTGTTTGTGCGGTAGTCTTGTACACTGCACGAAGCTTTGAGTTGATTGGAGATTATTGCTCAATCAAGATGATCTTCTAACCTAGGCGAACGTTGTCAGTCGATAACGCTTATCATCGTTCATGTGCATCAATCGGCGAATACTGTTGTAGATCCAGACATCCGGAGTTCTGTCCGGTGTGGTTATTATACGTGCTAAGTGAGTTTTGTTTTTTTATTCATTTGCATCTTATTTCTTACTGTCGTCGCCCTCATCTCATTTTTCATCAGCCCATCTTATTTCGCTTTTCCCATAATTCCTGTTATGTGGCCAAAACCAAGTCAAAGACTCATCTGTACTGCACTTTAGAGAAAATACAACTTAGTACTCCCACTGCATAAGCGGAAATTGTTCGTTGCACCGAGTTTTTCGAGCCAATAATTGATCACTTTGTCTCTGGACAGAAGAACACATTATTGCCCTTTTATACTTTCCTCTTATCATGACACTGTTAGTCATACTAGACAGACGACATGATCTCATCAACTGTTACATCGAGATACGATGATTTGTGTACCTCTTCCATCTATTGATCCATTCTGAATGATGCCCCTGGGCCCCTTGAGAGCTACTCTTATCTGGTTGGTCAATGGTTAGAGGTCAAACGAAATCAGTCTCTTAGTCCTCCAGGTTGGAGTTTGTAGATGAGCTGGCATCCATTTCCTTATACCGATACCTTGCGGACACGCTTCTTAGCTAAAGGTTTTGGTTGATCTTTCATATCGTTCATCTGTCGAGGTTTGGGCGCCTTGGTAGTATGTGCAACAGTGACTATTTAAACAAACTTCGACCACATTCTGCACCGGCCGTCCCACAGTTTTGCGACAGTCGCCTTATCGGTTTCATACACCATAGCATGTAATTGAAAATACGCTACTGCTGAGGCCTTTCTTTTCCATCTATGTCGTACTCCCTTCTAGACCCCACTACTAAGCTACCTTTTATAATTCCCAACTCAATCAACGGCAGTCACTGCAACACTGGAGTTCTGCTATGTGCAGCTATATTCCCTCACCACTCATTGGACTCCTTACGGCAACAGCTTCTTACAAGGCTACGCTGTTCTGTTTCCCTGGTGGTGTTCAACGTTCGCGCAGTAGTCTGCACACCTGGTTTGCAACCATGAGGTCACCGATTCGGATCCGCTCAGGGGCAGGCGTCCTCGTGGTATACTCAGTTACACGCGACTGGTGGTGGTTGCATGGCACCGAAGTGCCGTTACGGCGTGTGTTGTGTATTCGGTCAGCACGCTTGCCAGCTATTCTACACAGACAAGTGCACACCACTCCAGACACACACACACACACACACACAAAGCGTCCAATTTTCGGCTTCCCTGTTGGTTCATCCTTCTCCTTGCGACACCTCATTGTACTCACCTAGTTAGACATTGATCAGATTACAGTAGTTCGTTTACCGGAGTGACCTTACTTCGGCTTGTGCATTTGGCCTTCCGTATACAATACTGGCGTCGCTGTAGGCTACCTCAGCGGAAGCATTTCTGTGAGGATTGGAATTCGGTTGGCGAGCGATGGATCTTGGCAACCTCCTGTATGTCTGCATGGGTAGTGAAATATCGCAACTGTTCGGTCGTACATGTTTTGAGGTGAGCTAATTCCACAGCCTTATCCCAAATCAATTTGGAAGTGTCTTCGAAAGGTAGACATTCCCGAATTCGGTTATTGGTGATTCCACTAATCAACTGCTACACTAGCATAACGCCCTCGATTCTATTTTTCAGTATGGTCGGATACTCGCAGGGTCGTACACGGCGAATGAGGCGATCAACAAAACTGTAGCACTTCCGATGGTTCCTGTGTAAGTCGGTCGAATTTGA